CGATCCTTCAGAGATGTTTAGAAGTTCCCTCCAAAGAAAACATCGACTCCCAAACGTTTTGTCGTAAATTTTACAACCAGCAACCTGTTGTTTTAAGGAAATCTGTGGAGAACTGGAGACCATGTAAAACATGGACACCAGATTATCTTAAAGTTGCCTTGAAAGGAAGCTCTGAATGTCTGGAGGTTCTTGAAGCTTTGGACAACGAGCAGTTTGTTGACAATGTCGATTTCGCCCGCAAAAGAAACATTTCACCTGAAGCCTTCGTTGATTATGTTTTCAAGGAAGAAAAAGGGTTTGTCTCTGACGAAACGGCTGAAAATCAAAGGAAATATAGCGATTATCACAGCAAAAAGAGATTATATTTGAGAACTATGTCAATGCCTAATGTTCTTTACGGAGACATTGCCATACCAGATCAAATTAAAAGTTTAAAGAGTAAAATCTACCATACAAAGGACCAGGAAGCTGATTCATTCGACAAATTTGCTAGCAAAGTGTTCAGACAAGACACTATGCAACTGTGGGTTGGTACTAGAGGGAATGTCACGCCACTTCATTACGACCGAAATCACGGACTACTAGTTCAGATCCTGGGTGAAAAACAAGTCATTTTATTTTCCCATGAACACACGTCTTCCCTGTATCCTTTCCCAAGCTATTCAGAGAAATCTCACTTGAGCCGGATCAACTTCAGAAAAATGAAAGACGAAGATGAACTTTTAGCTTCCTTTCCAAAGTTTTGTCGGGCAGAGGCCTACAGTTGCGTGATAAGCCCAGGTGATATTTTATACATACCACCCTTTTGGTGGCACGACGTCACGTCACGCGATAACTGCATTTCTGTCACGCTCCCTTGGGACATGGAGCCATCTGATGAAATACCACCCTGTATGCTGCGATGAACTTCTTTTATGGAGAGTTTGGTATAGACTGTGATGAAAAGCTTTTAGAGAGTTGCATTTTAGCTGTATCATTAGTGAAATGAAAATAAAATAAAACATGTAAATATATTCCCAAATTCTATTCTTTGATTCTTTGTACGCTTTCTTTACAAAATTAAAAGTAGGAAAAGAATGATGTGATCAAAATTAATTTTCTGTTTGTATCATGAAGTTGCTTTCAACTTCTTCATAAATGATAACGTCTTCCTTTTGGTACAAAGGGGCTTTAAAAAACTTTTATTTTCTACCTAAATCAGCAACATCATGTTCACTCTGTTTTGATATCGAGATATTTTTAGCTCTTCATTCTATTTGAGACTTCCTAGCACTTGTTCACTTTCTTTGTTCTTTTTCTACTTTTTTTGTGTTGTTTTTCTGTTTTCTTTTTGTTTGATTTTGTTTCTTTACGTTGTTTTATTTAATTGTTTTGTTTTCTTATACATTCTTGAAGCCAGATTAGAGTCCTTGGTCTTTTGCCCAGCTCAAGCACTGAGAGTCTCAGACCACTGGTAAGTGGTAACTTGGCGCAGTTGCGTGACATTTAATAATAGCGTGACAAAACTGACTGAAAACGAAAACGACCTGGGGTCCAGTTTGAAAATACACACAGCTTTGCAGATGGCGGGGTTTTTTCTTTCAAATGGTTAATTAGCTGTATTGTTCCCCAGTTGGTACATTCGAGTGGGTTAATTGTAGCTCAAAGGCTCAATCTGAACACCGTTTTGAATATGACGAAGGCTGTGAG